TAGACAGACTGGCTCTGCCTGGGAGCGGGAAGAAAGAGGCCGTCAAGGACCTTTAGGGAGCGCGGCGGTTCCCTTCGCTGCGTGGGGAGCTGCGTGCGGGCATCCCCGCAAGGTCCCCGGGGGTCCCCCTATCCCCATCACGGCTCCGAGTCCCACCAGAGTGGTGGGAGACATGGGCACAGTGAGGATGAGGCGGTTCCAGCCCTTGCTCCTGCTGCAGCAGCAAAAGGGGCAGCAAAAAAGAGCAAAATTGCTCGCTGCTCTTGCAAAATGGGGAAAAGACCCAGTCTGCTTCATTTTTGCCTGGACACAGCTCAAAAACGCTCCTCCAGCAGAGAGGCTGGAAGATGCTCATCAAGCAGAACCAGGGGCCACCCCTTAAGCCCCTGCAGCACCTCTAGGCCACCGAGCATGGTATCACATGAGCTTTTTTTGGGGCGAAAACACCCGTTCTAGGCTCTGCCCGCCTCCCCGGCACGGGGATGAGCCGCACGATCCGTCTGCAGGCAGGTGACAAACGGCCAAGTTTGCTGGGAAAAGCTGAAGGGCCTTTGAAGTCTGACATTCCTGCCCCTGGGCTCGGGAAAACCCATCCACAGCTGATCCAAAAGCGACATTCGCTGATCTGGTGGGCCCACGGAGTAGAGTATTAAAAGGACCATGGCGCTCACGGTTTTATCCAAAGCGATTCTGACACGGAAATTAATTTGATTGCAGAGTCAGCCCCTGATTGCTGGGAAAGTGCAATTGGGACTCGCACCGCCCTGGGATGGGGAGCCCTGATATTCCCTTGGGAGAAGCTGCTCTTGAGCCGTAAGCGGCTCTTGGCACATCCCTGCGGAATGGTCCGCCCCGAGGCAGGTGCTGGGATCTTCTCTGAGCACTTTGGACGCTGTTTCCTGCCTTTTTTTGCCCATCTGAGGCAGTAAAAGCAGTAAGGGAGGTACATGGTGAAGGGCTGTCCGCTCCCTGCTCTGCTGGGAGCACTTCGCTCGCTTGCTCCAGCCTGGCTGGGGATGCCCTGTCCGACGCTGGTCTCCCTCGCCAGCAAACAAGCAAAAACACTTCCAAAAACAGGATCTTCTCTTTTTTTTCTTGTTGTTTTCCTTCTCCATGTAGCCAAGGCTGCTTTAACAGCTCCTCGTCCCGGAGCACGGATGTGGCCTTTGGAAAGGGGCTCCCTCCTTGCCCCCTGCTCCAGTGCCTGCTTTTCCTGAGGATGAACCACATCGTGTGAGGAGTTAAACCATCGCTCCAGAGGGGCAGATTTAGCATGGAAAGCAGCATGTAATCTCTCTGCAGCCACGCTCCTTATCAAAGGCCTCAGCCTCTGCTTCTCTGTGGTTAAATATCTGGAACGCAAAATTCATGAAAAAAAAAAAGGGGTAACTTTTCCCTCGGTGTTTTCTTATGTTCCACGTCTTCTGTTTTGCAAAACATCCTCATGTCCTGGCCCCATGACGTCCTCCTTGGCCATGGGTTCCTGACCCGGATTCCTCATCCATGAACTCCATCCGCACTCCTCCGCGGCACGGAGCCGGCCTGGCGGCGCTCCTTGCTCCGGTCGCGTGCACACGGGATTCAGGGAGCATCCAGACCTGTCTCGGATACCCAGGAAGACAGCAACTGGCCGCGCTCTTCCATGGATCGGCTTCCCCTTTATCCACCTCTCCATCACACTAATTGTGGGAGCAACGCGGCCAGGATGGGAGCTCCGTCAGGAAGAGGTTCAATACCCATCCCGGAGCGGAAAGCGGGAGTGAATCCCATAGGGAGCCAGCGAGGCCAGGGCAACGCGGAGCGGCTGCACTCACCATCCCATCGAAGGAGTGATCTGTCCGACTCCGCCAGGAGGGAGGGGGTAGAAACCGGGGATATCGGATGTCTGGGAAGGACGGTGCACTCCTAGGGAAAAGGAGAGGGAAAGGCATTGGAGCAAGCGGCAGGCTGGTGGGGAGCAGGGATAGATCCCAAATGCCTTGCTTCCAAATATTATACATGTATATTTATTTAGAGGCAGGTCTCCACTGAGCCTCTGTTAAAGCAGCGTTTCCTGCTGTCCTGCTCCTCTGCGGACCCGGGTGTCGGGTGGGAATTCACCTCTGGCAAGGGGGATCCCTGCGGGATGTCCCAGCCCCTGGCTCAGCAGGCAGGGCCAGGGGAGGAGGGAGAAGTCAGAGCATCCATCGTTTTCCATTGGCTGCAGCACCGGGATGCGGTAGCTACCAGGGTTTCCTGGGATTTAGCTTTCCAATATAAGAGCTGCATAAGGCAGAGCTCACATTTTCCCTGGAAGCTCAGCAGGCAGGGAAAGGAAGATGTTCACCCAAAGGCTTTGCTCTTATTGCACCTTGTGGAAGATTTTCATCTGGACTGAACCGCAAGAGAGTTATCACCGAGGTCTCTCTAGGACATGCTACCAGTGACCGTGACTTGTGGACTGCGAATACACTCAGATTGATGAGCTCCTTGGTATTAATAAAGCACTGGCTAGAGCGGGACGAAGCTGTGGGGTTTCTTTTTGTTTGCTTTTTGCATATTCAGCTACTATTCATGTCATTCCTCTAAGGCTAGGAAAATGAATTGAAATGAGTGTTTAACTTCTCTTCATATTTTTCTACTGAGTTTATTATACTCTAGTGGCTGACAAGCAATTTGTTGGCTGGCAGCAACCCAGGATGTGCCTGGGTATCTATTACCCCAGACATAAATCCTTCCCTGCGGCATTCCCGATGGGCCTCCGGAGAGCATGGAGGCTGCCAGCGGGTCCCGGGTGCCCGGTGCTTTTAGGCATGCGGAGCGCTTGGCAGCACTGGACAGCCTGGAAAAGCGAGCAGCTCCCGAGCTCCTGCATGAAGGACTTGCCCAAACTCTCTGTTTTGTGCTGTGATTTCTTTGCTCAGGTGAATCCTGAGTCCCTCCCCTGGTGCATTTGCTCAGTGCACAGGAATTGCTCAGTGACATAGGAAACCAAGACTGGGTTGGTGCAAAAGCTTGGATGCTCCGAATAGATTGTTTCAGACCCTATTGCACTAGCTAGAAGTGAGAAGTTGGACTTCACAGCCCTATTTTCCTTCACCCCCAAAGAAAGATGCTCTGTGGTGACTTCTTGCATCTGCACCCATATTTTAGAGCTCAGAGTTTAACCTCTCTGTACTGCACTTTCCTTTGCAGCCAGAGAGTGCAACAACCACATAACGTGTGGCCGTGGACTGACACCCAGATATAAAAATCCAGTTAGCTATTAGACACCAATCCTATTTAGTCAAAATATTTCCTGTTTCAAACATTCATTTTCTCAAAACGACAGCCTGACAGCAGTTTGGGTATGAGTCAAAGGAAAGGTTACTTTCCATTTTCTGGTTGACTCTTGAGCATCATCTCTCCGGCTCTGGTCTGCAGGCAGCTTGCACAGGCAGCTGAGCACATTTGACGAGCAAGGCTGATGCTTTTGATATCAAACGTCACTGGCCAAGATTATAAAGCGTTGCAAGGAGCTAATAACCCCCAAACAAGCCCCGTTTCCTATGTGCATCCCGCCGCTGTTACCTTGCTTCTGGTTGATGTCGGCGGGCAAGTGGGGCGAGTGGGAGCCGTGGCTGAAGTGGTCGTTGCTGTAGGGGATGAGCGGGGTGAGCGGGTGGACTCCGTGCGACGGCTGCACCACGGGCACCTTGTTAGACTGCAAGGCACAAGGACAGGGGTCAGGCACAGCGCCGGGTGAAATGCAAAATCACCCATTTCAGGCTTTTCCAGGACTTTTTTCCTCCAGGAGGAACGCTGCAAGCACACGTGGTGTGGGCTGCTCCCAAGACGCTTCCCAACCCCACAGTGCATCTCCGACGTACATTGGCGAGCAAAGTCAGTGCTTAACAGGCATTTTTAGGAAAAATAAAACCAAAGAAAACCCCAAACCCACCAGCCTCCCTCTCTCTTTTGCATTCCTCCTGGTAGGGAGCACACACACATGCTTCGCCGTCTCCCTCCAGCCTCCGCGCCCGGAACGCCGCAGGCTGCTCCGTGCGTGCCCAGTTTCACCCGCGACGCCTTTCAATCCTGTCCAACTTCACCCGGCCATCAGGAATGCTCAGATTTGTCCCAGTAAAGCAGGAAGAGAAGCAGGCCAGATTGCCCTGCAAATCTGGGAGAAAACCGGAGCGGCGCCCACGGGAAAGGCAAGCGGGCAGGCGGGAATCGCAGCGGCGCATCCGCGGAGCGTGCGCTGCCCGGCACTGCCAGCCCCTTCCAGCCGCCGCGCTCGCTCAGACGCTGCCTTTCACTTCGGTAATGATTGTGCTGGGTCTCAGCGAGCGCCTGCTCTGCTGGAGCCTGGGCAGCCGCCCAGGGACCTCCTGCCTTCTGCACTGCAGCTTGGGGCAGGAAACCTGGGAAAGGGAAAGGAGAAGAGGCCGGGAGCTGGAGACGCTGCTTTACAAGTGCCTCTGCATAAAGGTCTGCTCGTGTAAATGCTGTTCCTCGCCAAGAGCACCTCCAAATCTCACGCGTTGGTGCATGGGCTGCAGATTTGGCACCTATGGGGGATGTGGGGAACATGACCCTCCTCGCCAGTGCAAATGTGGGGTTGCTCCATGGCGCGCGGGCGGCCCTGACTTAGCTGAATTCCCATCCGGAGCATCCGTGCGTCACCTCCACAGTCCTCAGGAGCAAAATCATAACTGGATGCTCAGGAACAAGTGCCCCCTTCCCCGCTGCTTCCCCGTGTCCAATCTGCAGTGTGCAGACACCACCATCATCATTGCTCATCGCTGCCCCTCTTCCTACCAGGTCCAGGTTCAGTTTCTGCAAATCAGCTGCAACATGTGAGCCCTGAAGAGAGTTTTCAAAGCCAGGAGTTGCCAGCTGATGCCATCATGGGCTGTAAAATTAACTCCTCCGTAAGCGTTTTCC